GCAGAGAAAGTGAAAGTATTTCAACGACCTATAAATAGTCATCTCTCGGAGGAATCAGTCCAGTCATCACCCGAAGACGATTGTAGATGATAACAATGGAATCTCTACACTTTTTATTATTTTCTTTTTTCATTCCTTTATTTTCATTTATTCAATTGTTATATTTTTACTTGTAGTTTATTTCACTATTATTTAATTTCAGGTTTATTTTGTTTAATATAATTGTTATTTTCAGCTATTCATTTTTGATTATTCTTTTTTAGTTGTTTCAGGGATTTCAAATCATTTTATATAATAGACAATGGAAGTCTGAACTAGTGAAATTCATCATGAAATATTGTCAATCACCTTCGAACAAATTTATATCATATCAGATAATGAAAGTCCGAACTAATGAAATGTAGTCTTTTCGCATTATCTGGTGATTTTTCTGTATATGAGACTGCAAACGGAACTTTCATACGGTCCTTATTCGTTATAGGACGAAAATGCCGTAATGTTGGTTACAAATAAAATTGGTAAAAAACAAAGAAAGTTTCAATTTTCTTTTCTTCATTAATATGTTAATGTTTTGTCGTATACTTGATACAGAAAAAATATCTAAGATAAAATAAAGATAGAAATGTACTTAAGGCAAAAATGAAATTTTCTGTACCAATTATGTACCAATGCGATCCACAACAGTTTCAAACATTGTATTCATACATAAAGTAAGTAATGCTAGAACAAATAACAATTTTATATGATTGATTTATAGTTTTCAGAAATATGGAACAATTATTTCAGCATCTTCGAATGATGGATGCTAAAGAAAAACGTGTTATAACCATTTCCTCGATATTTACATTGTAATAAATTCATCTGCATGCAGTTGACTCTCTAATACATCACCCCTCAATGTTGTGAAGCACAATGTTCTCTCTAGGTTCAGAGCTGAGTCATCTCATCTGCTTAATCACATTAATCTTGATGATATAGGTGGGTCTGCTCTAATTTAGAGGGACACAAATTGAAGATTATTCACCACGTAGTAAATTCTGTCAGGTAAATTAGTGAGCCGAAGAAATATACAACGACTGAACCGAAAGTTGGACCGTGCTGCCATTTGCATTATTCTGAATTATAGCCAACCCTACAGTTTGTGTTTACTCGGGCTCAGGTCTGTCTCTATTCCGTTTTTACGAAAGTGGAAACAATGTTAAGTATACAAAACTTGCTAGAGCTTCAAACGCGATTTTCTTTATAGGGTTCTCTGTTTGGTTTTTAAAAATTCAGAACAGAGTTCTGCAAATCTCGGATTCCAAAATATTAGTTTATTATTGTCAGTTTAATATTTTGATGACGTTCTTGCATACCCAGAGCCTTGGATTTTGGAAATTCAACTCCTTTTTTCATTCAGATACATTTCTGGACAAATTGAATTATTTTTACTCCACATTTATTTACCTTGAACGCCTTAATAGAGTGAAAACCCATGAACGTTAAAACACTCATTAACATCTTAATTCGAGTGAAAATATAAAGTATCAAGTATTGAATATGTCGATTTATCGTGATGCTGGGAAAAATCTAAAACTATATATTATTTAGATGAAACGTCATTTCTTTCAGAATTGATTATCTTGTCTTTAATGATGTAATCACAACTCAATCCATAATTCCAAAATTTTCTCAACCATTCAAATGTGTATAGTCATTTGGAATTGATTACTCTTCTTAGGGAACATTTACGAAAAGAAGTGTGCAGGTTACTAGATGGAATTAGTACCCTAGGGCGGTGTATCACGACCTAATATCGGAGAGCCATAATTCGAAATGCCATAGGCCTCATCAGTGGTACTTTATCCAGTGATTATCAATTAATTATTATATGAAGTCTCTAGACACGTTTGTTTTCTAGTTCTTTGCAATTCAAATTCTGGTGAAATTTCCAATGTAGTGTAGTTCATCTAACTAATATGTACATACGGACTTGTTACTAGCTGACTCGGCAAACTTTGTTCTGCCACATAAATTATTTCTCTCAGAACAATAACATCCAAAAATAATAATAATCCCTTTATGCTATAGTGTACAATATTTTTCGTTAGTTTATGTTTAACACAAACAAACGGGATGATTTGCCCACTTGAGAGTTTGCCACATATAACTGTCCACATGAAAAGCATGGTGTGCTCAAATTCAAGCCGCAAACGAACATTTTTTGGCTTTGAGACTCATTAATAGTCATTGCAAATGCAAATGAATTGGCACAACTGTGATATAAATAAATTTCCACCTTGGAATTTGTCATTAAAAATGGCTCCAACAACGTTTTTCATCAATTTTTTTTGCTAATCGTGTAATGTTGCACAGCCGTGGTGGATTCAAATTACGGAGCGATCCAACCTTCAGTTGTAAATTATGCGGTAGTATGCCTGGCAAATCCAGTGAGTTCAAAAACGCTTTCAATAATTCACAGCTTCGTTGGCATCGTAAACTGTATCTATCCTCGTTGGATAAACAATAGTAGTGGCTGAAAACTGTGTAGGCAGTGAGAAAAGGCTCATTGTGTGAAAGAGAGAGAGGGGACCGGCTTTGTTCTCATTCCTACTTCGTGTTGTTTACCAAGTGAGAAGTGACACCGGTGGACGCCTAGCGGAAATAACTGATCTATGATCAGGGTTAAAAATTATTGAATTACTAAAATTGCTATTGGAAAATAGGGGTTGATGATACAAGGATAAAAAATGGATGTTATATGTTTTTTCTCAATGCCACATCATAAAAACATGAAAACAGAAAATTTTATCCAAAAAAATAAAATATAAAAGTTTGGGGTTGGGGGCGATGATTTTTTTCTCCAAATTTTAGATTTTTAGGTTCCAACCACATTGAAAAATGGAGAGAGAGCTTGAAAAAATAAAAGAGGAGAACAAAATACTAAAAGAAGCTAACGAGGATATGAAAAGAGACTGCGATCTCCTGAGCGAGAAATACATATTAGAATTTAACAAATGTAGGGAAGTAGTCGAAGAACTAAAAGCCGGGCTTGATAAAGCCCAAATGGACAGCGTGGCCAAAGATATCCAAATAGCTGAACTAACAGCTAAAATTTCAACTTTGGAAAATAAAAACAAGGACGAGAAAAAAGGAAAGGAAGAAAAGGAAAGCGAAGACAAAAAGGAAAAACAAAAGAAAAGCGAAAAGAACCAAGGAAAAAACATCCCTGAACGAGAGAATGATAAAAAGGTAAGTGAAAGCAGTGTGAAAGTCCCTGAAAAAAAGGAAAGTAACAATAGCACAGATCTAAAGGCAACCAGGCGGCCAAAAGCCCTGGAGGTAAGCTCCGAAGCAGAAACTGAAAATGCGTAGGCGTAGAGAACAAGAAGAACAAGAAAGACAGAGAGATAGCCACGAGGTCATGGAGACCGAGGAGGAAACGGCAGCCATTGAAGCAGGGCTACTAACAGAAACAGACAAAGAAAGGACACCAGATACCGACGTGGTACACCACAACAACAAACAATCCAGTATGGCCAACAGTAAATAAAAACAAAGACGAATGGGTATAGACCCCTTCGACAAACGAAAATACGACGACAAACACAAATGAAAACCCCTCAAAACCACCACCAATAGTCATGCATGACTCAAAGAGGTGGAACGAGGTGTTGAAGGAGCTAGAAAGAACGCGAATCCAATACAACAGGGCGCACCTAACAAGAGACGGCATATACATCCATACCAACAACGAAATGGAATGGAAAAAGTGCACCAAATTCATGGAGGAATTCTGCCTGGAATTCCACACATATACATTAAAGAAAGAAGTCTCGCTCCACGCGGTCATTCGGGGGATACCGGAGAACGTGGAGAAAGCTGACATGGCGGATGACCTGAGAAGAAAAGGATACGAGATTCTGGAATGTCACAGAACGACATCTAGAAAAACAAGGCTAATACTGCCGCTATTCTTGGTCAAAGTACCAAAAATCCAAGAAAACATTTTCGCACTAAGAACGTACGTCAACTTGATCGTGCTGGCGGAGCTGCAAAGAATAAACAAAGGAATAATAGCACAGTGCCACCGATGACAATACTTCGGCCACCCACAACGATGCTGTCACGCAACCGCGCACTGTGTAAAATGGGCAGAACCACATAACACAAGACGCGCCAGCCAAATGCGCAAACTGCCTGGGAGCGCACCCGGCAAGCTATAGGGAGTATAGGATGTTATCCAAAACCAGATACACAGCAACAAGCGGAGAGTCAGCAGCCCCTCCGTCAGCAGGCAGCCCAAAGGAAGCCAGCACCGAGGGCGCAGAAAGCCGAAGGAAACGAGCTGGTCCAAATCCTAGGAAGTTTAACGACTGAGCAGCAAAAGATCGCGCAAGCGGTCTCATCTGCACTGATACAAGCACCCGGGAGACAGTAATACCACCACGAATAAGAAGCGAAAAGAGCTACCAAATCCCAGAATATAATATATACAGAACAGACAGGCCAGGGGGGCGCGGCGCTACTAGTGAAAACAGACCTAGCGCAGAACGTAGACAGAAAACCAGATATCCAACACAGAGAAGCAGTAGCGGTCAGAGTCAAACTGAGACGCTACGAGCAGCTAAGAATATCGTCGGTATACCTACCTCCGCTAGGTACAAGACTAGAAAGAACCAACATGGTAGAAATGTTCCCAGGCCACTATTCAAAAGTTGCCATCGGCGACTTCAACGCAAAATCGCGAGACTGGAACTGAAGGAATGAAAACACGGGAGGCAGATATATAGTCAGAATTCTAGAAGAATTCGAGGACATCGCAGTAGTAGCACCGAACACCCCAACGCACTACCCGCGAGAAGACCAAGTCCCAGATATTCTCGACATCGCACTAGTGCAGAACATCGAAACTACTGAGATGAAAGCAATTCAACTTCCAAGAGCACCTTCCACCAGAAACGATGGAATTGATAAAAATGAGAAGACGCCTGAAAAGACAATACGGAAGGACAAGCGCACCTATGGACAAAAGGTGCATGCAGAGAGCCAACAGGATACTGAAAGAAGAATTGAAAGCTATCCGAAAAAGACAATGGACTACCCGTCTGGAAGAACTAAACACTGAAGACCAGTCTAGTCAAAAGAGCGGACAACACGCAACGACATCTCCCGAGGAAGTGAAAGACATCCTAAGACGTCTATCCACTCGGAAAGCACCAGGCCCGGACAAAATAACAAACCGGGCACTGAAAGTACTACCTCGCAAGGGTATAGCAGCCATAACCAACATCATAAACGCTATACTCAAACTGCAGCACTTTCCGTACCCGTTCAAAGAGGCAACGGTAATCCACATCCCGAAGCCCAAGAAGAACCACCTGTTCCCAGACAATCACAGGCCAATTAGCTTACTTCCTTCCATAAGCAAAGTGGCGGAGCGTGTCATCTTGAAGAAACTTGAAGACCAAATCAGAGAGCTAGGAATCCTCCCGGATGAGCAATTTGATTTTAGATCAGAACACTCGACAGAGCTAGTCCTGAGGGTAGTAGACTTCGCGACTGAAGGCTTCAACCTCGGTAAAGGACACAACACCGGAGCTATCTTCTTAGACGTCTCCAAGGCGTTCGACAGAGTTTGGCATGACGGACTACTGGCCAAGATGAGCGATTTTGGATATTCAAAACCAATGGTGAAATCAATTCAGTCTTTTCTAGCTGACAGGCGATGTCGTTGCAGAGTAGGAGACGAACTATCAACAATTCGACTACTGGAATCAGGGGTCCTATAAGGAGCAGTCTTTTCGCTACACCTCTTCTCCATATACACAGCGGACGCGCTCAAGCCAGAGAACAACTTCAACAAGTTGGCGCTCTACGCGGACGACACTGCCCTGCTAGCGAAATACACGAGCCAAGCGCATGTCACGAGGTACTTGCAGCAAGAGGCAGACAGATTAGAGGAGTGGAAGTTCAGTATAAACCCTGACAAGAGTCAGGCGGTACTGTTCACTCGCAGGTTTGTACAACCGGAAGGCAACGTCACCTTCAACGGACAAGAGATTCCGTGAACCAACAAAGCGACATACTTGGGGGTCATCTTAGACAGGAGATTAACATTTCAGTGGCCAGACACCCCAGACAACGCCTTGGACCTATCATAGGACGCAGAAGCAACATGGGGTTGAAAATGAAGTTGCTGATGATTAAAATATTTCTTATGCCCATAATACTGTATGCCTGCACTGCCTGGGGCCAGTGCGCATAGACATACAGGAAAAAGATACAGTCGTTCATGAACGCGAGTATAAGGGCCGCCGTAAACGCACCGTACTACATTCTCAACAGATTTATATACAGAGACCTAGACCTGAACACGTGTATATGAGAGAACACGCAGAAAGCATGTTCGATATAATCATATCGCACAACAACCCAGCGCTACGCGATCTACACGATGCGTTAAATATGGATGACCCCAGATTTCGAGAAAGGGACAAACACCCAAGGCCGACAAAACAAAATCTACGACAACCCCCGCGATTCGCCATCAGGCGGTTCAGGTAAGCATGAACTAACCAGATAAACTCTCTTCCAGGTAGGTTCAATGTAGGAACAATTCGACCACGATTCACTTTTTCTCAGATTCCCTGAGGAATGCTCAACGCTTAAAACAATAGCCGCCGGATAGCTTTTGGGGGCCCCAATGCAAAAATTCAGTTAGGAATAGTCATGACAAAATAATTTAACCGAAAAGAAAGAATAGCATCTAAAGGCTGTCTTTCGACCAGAAGAGGTCAGATGTCAATCTTGCTGAAGTGTTCATCAGTAAGTTGAGGACCGTTCGGAAAGTGGGGGTGGATGAAGTGGGGTATCAGGTTCTCCTCGCTAACTAACTGGGGGGAAGCTTCTACTTCAGGGCACTCAACCCGGGAGGGGTCATGAGGGGGGTACAACACTCATCACTTAGGGGAATGAAACATAGCTGGAAACCTATTCTCAGACGTACCAAATACACATATGTAAATTTCATGAAAATATGTTGCGCCGTTTCTGAAAAGTATGGCAGCTAGCTCTCTGACACAGAATTTTATATATTAGATACCAATCAATCAATCAATTTATTTCATGAAAGGCAATGGTTACATTGGNTGAATTTATATATTAATTTTCTGAGGGAATTTGTTACGTTGTCGACATGTATATTCCATCTTAAGTGTCTGTCAACAGTGACACCAAGGTATTTGATTTGGTCGGTTGCGCTAATTTCAAAAGTAGTTCCGTGATTGTTGAAAGACAATTTTTTATAATTCATAATATATTTATGCATTTATCAGAGAATTCAAGCAAGTGTTAACCTATTTCGAACTTTCGTAAGAGTTTGGTGCATCCGTCAGAGGTTGAGTCACGTTTGAAGATCATTAGTTTCATTATTAGATTGACTGGTGCCTCAGCTATACTTGTTTTCTTATAATAATCAGTTAGTTTCGCACATGTTTGGCAATACAGTAGATCATCACCCGGTAAAATTTCCATTTTCAGATGATTTGATAATAAGCTTTGCACGGACTGGTTATCAGTTATATTAGGAAACGCTAAATATCTACTTATCCAATAAATTCTGAGGCAACTCGAAACAATTATCCGGAATCAATTCGTGGAGAAAACCCTGAGAACCTTTTTAGACTTCTGTATTATTCAGATGCCATATCTCAGTGAAAACTGCAGAGATGGAAAGAAACGTCTCATTCTGCAGTCGATATGGAGCTTGGATTTCAAGGGACCGCCATTGTATCATCCGTTTGTCTGTTAAAACTTGTTAACCAGCTGTCAACCCTCTACGAACGACAATCTTCGAAATTTGATACTTATGCAGTTAAGGATTAACGAGGTTCCACGTTCCATCGTACAATTTCTAGCAATAATAATATTTCCTTTCATCATTTACCAGAACACAAAATTATTTCGAAACAAATAAAACTCAAAAGAAAATAATCTTGCTACTCTCTCATCCATTAGAAGGAATATATTGTGTTACGAATAGTAATTCAAAAAATGCCTACAACTCGAGTTGAAAACCGTCGAATGAACTATATGGTTATATTCCTCGTCATCAAATTCACAAAATGAACTGATCTTTGCATTTTATTATTTATTCATTTTATTATTTATTTTCCCTTCTCAAAATAAAAGAGCACGCTTACGTTTCTCTCGAATCGGGGCCGAAAGAATAATAAAAAGAAGCAAAATTTGCTGACATCAGCTTCATTTCGGAAACCTGCCTATACAGTCTGTCAATCTTTGAACTTTTCTTTACTTGTGGCAATGAAATATCGGCAGACTCTAATTGGGATTTCGTTGGCTG